TTACAAAAAAGAGAATTCAAATTTGTGTGCAAACTAAGCGGGCAAACTGTTATGACCAACTGACCTAATTCATACATGCATTAAGCAATACTTATTATAACAGAAACTTCCCATTGGTAGTTGGACCAAAACTAAGCAAATAATTGATCATATAAAATTTACACATATGATCATTCCTATGATTTGCATCCATGTGTATCTGTGATGATTGGAAAAGTTGATTTGGGGACATTTTGGAAAATGCCAAATGAGAGAAATATTTTGAAAAGAAGCCAAAAAGAACAAAAATGCCCTTATTTATTTTTGTATTTTCTAAGGAATTCCTTACATTTGCATGTCTTTTGTTTGAAAGTTGAGGGGTTTTTCTGTCTTTTTTGCAAAAATTCTGGTTTTTTTTTAAAGTGAAAATTTTTTATGGCTAAAACTTAAATTTACTAAATAGGAAACAACAAGCACTCACTTGCGCAGAAGGCTCATGTCATGAGTGGGCTCCCTTAGGTACTTGACGTGAAATATTGTACATGATAACCTATATAATAAGAGCTAATGACTTTATTTATGGAATTCGTTATCATTTAAAAGAAATGTTCTGTGCAACTTTTCCTTTGTGATGTGTGTGAGGACGAACGACTGAAGCATACGTAATTGACCAAAACAAACTCTATGCGTCAAGAAATCCAATCAAAAAAAGGCCTAAAGGAACCCAATCAAATAAAGGCAAGGGAATATATGCTGTTAAGACATTTTTTTATTGGTCATCTCATCTTTTGTATAACTGTGCTACTCTCAAAACACATGCAGCATGCTTGTCCTTGTCAAGATACTGTCTGCTCCCATGTTGTTGCCCGCATAAATGAGAAAAGATTAGAAAGAAAGAAAAAGTTCCGGGAGTGGTGATCATATCACCCAATGACAGAGCCTTGTCAAGAAACTTCAGCCTCACTCTTAGACTAAATTACAAAAAATGCATAAGATGACCTAAGAATGCATTGAAAATAAAATTAAAAACAAAGCCATAAAATTCCAACTGGATTGAATTATTTATGTAAAAATATAGGCCATAAAAGTTTGAAATAATGACACAATAAAGCCTTAAGAGACGTCTCAAAATGTGAAACTTTCAAAATCCAAAAAATATCCTTAATTAACTAAGAACACGTCTGATAACCATTTCAATTTTAGTTTTTAGTCTTTCATAATTTTTGTGTGTGCTAGAGTATAAGAGAAAATGAGAGTTATAATGGAAGTAAAAATGAAATTACGAGAAAGGATGAGAGGGAAGGATGAGAGGGAGTAGTAACAAAAGTGAAAACAAAAACTTGAAAGTGAAAATAATTTCAAATAGATTTCAGTTTTTACTTTTGTTACTCCTCACTCCTATCTTCCCCTCTCATCTTCCCTCCCAATCTCATTTACATTCTCATTCTCACTTATATTCTCCTTTTTTTTCCTCTATACTTTAGTACAAAAAATGAAAATGAAAATTTAAAACTAAAATTAAAATAGTTATCAAACGAACCGTAAAATGCTTAAAACTTAATCATTTAAATAAAAATTAAAACCCACGTAGTGGGCTATTACCATCACCTTCCTTTTTGGCCATGTGGTCAATTATTTCATAATAAAATAATTGAGCGAGCCGAACAAACTTGATAACAAAGACGTCCTTCTTAGTGTGTGTGTGTGTGTGCGGCGTGCTAGTACCACGGTCATGAGTGACCGCATGTAGTACCATGATCTTTACTTCTTTTCTAGCAACGGCTTAGATAGGAACAGATTCTTCATCGTAAGATTCTAGGCCACGATCACAAAGCCTTTAGAATGAGATGATGGTTGGATAATATCACCAAACTCGATAGCTCAATGGGTTCAAATAGCTCAAGAAATGCGTGCATCTCAAGAAATTTGGATGGATTGGGTGGTGCTCAAAAATTGACTTTATAAACGGCAAAAAGGAAAATCTTGTTGATATATGAAATGGATGATTGAGATGAGGAATGACCAAGAACTCATAATGGTTTATGAGTTCTCTTTAACGAGAGTTACACTAATTTATAAGAAAAAGACATTAATAACTATGAACTACATGATAAAGGTTAAATGGTGCATATCAGCAGTTGTTGGGCTTGATTTGTTTGATTAGTGATGGACCCTTATTTTATCGATCTTTCTTTTATTTATAGATTTTGTATTCTTCGAGTCGAGATAATGATTATGATCGTGCTCTGACACGTGTTCAATCAATCCTCATAACTTTAATTTTATGTTTTCACTTGCAAAAAAATCTAGGCCCAAACATGGATTTTTTATTTCTTCTTATTTTTATATGAATTCACTCTGAAGAATATGTGTATAAATAATTATTAGAAGGGAAAAAAAAAAATCCAATTAGCGCGCGAGAGCGTGCTAGGAGGACGAGGAGTAGTAGTTGATTGATATATTAATTCTCTTAATTTATTTTTGACGTGTAAGAAAAAGGAAAAGAGAATATCTTGGTCAAAGTCTAACCAAAATATTAATATCAATATTAAAAGGCCATGACGAAAAACCCGGAACAACCTTCACCGGCGTTCTACTTTGCTTCGGCAGCTTTTTTCTTTAAGAATAAACAACCAAATCCCACTCACTCTATCCCCCTATATATACACAAACATTGTCTATCTCACTCTCTCTCTTTGTTCTTCTACCTACAGAAACCTCGCGAAAGGCAGGAAGCAGGAACAAGAGAGTGGAAATGGCGAAGAACGATGTGCCGTTAGGATCGGTGGACGACTTCCTGAAGCGGTGTCAGCAGTCGGGCGATGCCGCATACGGCGCCTTGAGATCAGTGCTGGAGCGTCTCGAGGATCCCAAGACCCGAACTCAAGCTCGGATCTTCCTCACGGACCTCCAAAATCGCTTCCCCTCCAAGGAAGCCTGCGATCAATGCTTCCGGACCTACCATTTTCAGATTGAAGACATCTTCTTCGATCAGTTTGAAGGTAACACGCAAACACACACTCTCTCTCTCCCATTCAAATTTCTCTTTTTTATTTGCTGTATCGTCGCCTGTTTGGTTGCTGAGAAAATGGAGGGAATGAAAATGGAAGAAATGGAATATTTAATCCTTTGAATCCAGTTATCTAAATTACGACAATTGTCTCATTTGTTGTCTGTCACTGTCT